CAGAGTATGTTGCTAAGAGGCCCAAGGACATTGTGACTTAAAATGATCATTGGAGCTCATTTGACTTCAAGAGAATGATCTATTGCAACAGTAGTATATGTGACACTTAGGTCCCTGGAGTTTGTGGTATTGGTCAAAGGGTTTCGATGCATAGTAGTGCTCTGAGCAAATAATTATTTACTTCTACAGTACAATGGGTCATACACAAACCATACTGTGGGGAAATACTGAGTCACTTCAATGATAGAAACGATTGTCTTTTTAAGACCTAGCACTTCAAGGCTTTAATGGCTAATCTGTCTGTTCTTGACATCTATCCTTTTGACCTTTGACCTTACAGCCTTCAGTGTGCCAGAGATGAATGTGGATTACAATGCCAGTTCAGAGAGCTTGCGCTGTGAGGCTCCTCGATGGTTCCCCCAGCCCACAGTGGCCTGGGCATCTCAGGTTGACCAAGGAGCCAACTTTTCAGAAGTCTCCAATACCAGCTTCGAGTTGAACTCTGAGAACGTGACCATGAAGGTTGTGTCTGTGCTCTACAATGTCACGATCAACAACACATACTCCTGTATGATTGAAAACAACATTGCCAAAGCCACAGGGGATATCAAAGTGACAGGTGGGTTTCCTGAGACTTCCTCCGCCCCAGGCTTCCGGATGAGACCCAGGATTTTGGGAGTACTAGAGAAGCACTCTACTACTAATCCACATGCTTCTCCATTCTTTTCGTATGTTCTATTAGAGAGAAAATAATATCTCAATTAAAACTGAATATATTTAATATGTCCTAGGGCACAAAACTCTCTAGAGTCTTCCAGGTCCTCTAGAGACCTTGATCACAATTTCAGTTGGCATTGCTTTATGTAAGTAAAAGCCTGACATAGTATTTAAAGCATCTTGGTTAAAGACGGTGATTGGCTTCATCTTGCATGCCTTCTAACTGGTTTTCTGGAGAGCTCAAGGTTCTGAGGCCCTTTCTAACTCAGTGGAACTACTTTGATATAGTGTGAAGTGGTGATTATTTGATGTCTTTGATATTTTTAGCTGATATGCTACATCCTCAATTCTCCCAAACTCATCAGAGCCCAACTAGCCCTTGTGAAAGCTTTGAATATGAAGACCAAAGCTCTACACTCTGACTCAGTCTCATTCAGTCATCATTGGACTGATGAAAGATCTCACTAAATCTCACTAAAGTCCAGGAAAATATGAAAATCCTAGATTGAACGGACCTCCCAGCACTCTGGCTGAGAAAGCCCAGTCCCCTATTCTGACTGTAGTGCCCTATTGCATACAAAATCTAGAGGTGAGCTAGTTTCAGGAAAATGTACAGACTCTAATGTGACTTATAAGACCATCACACATGATGTCTGCTGAATTGATATTCTAAAGGAAGGAATTCACCAGGAGAGTTCCCATTTAGATAATCAGAGAACAAGACAAAAAATATCTTGTACATCATAAGTGCCTGATAAATGTTTGCTGAATTTAAATGAATAAATTATATTCTTAACAGTTTATTTTTTATTTAAAATTAATTTTTGAAAATTATTAATGGCAGAAATATTTGCAAATCATAAATCTAATAAGGTGTTGACTTCCAGAATATATAAAGAACTTATGGCTTAACAAAAATATCAAATAGCTAAATTTTAAGGAATTCATGTTTTCAGTGCTGAAGGTTAGACCCAGGGTTTTGTCATGTTAGGCAAGCAGTCTCCCACTGAATTCTGTTTCCAGTCCTAAACAACTGGTCTTTTCCTTTTCTCAGTTTTCACTTATGTGCGCTTTTTTCACTGTGTGTGTGTGTGTGTGTGTGTGTTATGCTTTATGTGTATGGAGTATATTATGTGTGCGCATGGTTTTGCATGTGTGTAGGCATATGTACATGTGTTGGGGGTGCATGTGTACATGTATGCTGTGTGTGTGTTATGCATTATGTGTATGGAGTATATTATGTGTGCGCATGGTTTTGCATGTGTGTAGGCATATGTACATGTGTTGGGGGTGCATGTGTACATGTATGCTGGTGCATGTGGAGGCCTGAGGTTGGTATCAGGAATCAGTGCTCTTCTACCTTATTCACTCAGAGACTCTCAATCCCACACAGGGCTAATCTTGCTGGCCAGCTTGTTCTGGAGACCTCCTGTCTCAGCTTTCTGAGCCTGAAATTGCAGGTGGGCTGCTGTGCCCACTCGGCATTTAGGTGGGCTCTTGGGGATCAGAACCCTGGTCCTTGTGCTTGTGCAGCAAGTTCTATAGCGACTGAGCCATCTCCCCAGTGCCCCCAAACAGCTGAATTTTAAAATGATCACATGACAATAGATATTTTTCCAGATACAAATGACCAAAGAATATATGAAAATAAGTTTCACAGCATTAGTCATCAGAAGAATGGAGAATAAAGCCACAACAAGCTCTCATCTCAGACCCATTAAGGGGGTTACCAACAAAAAATGAAACAAAACAAAACCCACAGAAATTACTAAGTGTGGGTAAGGATATAGAGAAACTGTAATGTTCATGGACTGTTAGCAGTATTGAAACTGACACAGTCACTACAGAAAACAAAATGCCGTGTCCAAAATAAAAAATTGAACAACCATTTGATCTGATAATCCTACTTTTAGACATATTTCCGAAAGAATTCAAAGAAAAACCTCAGAGACATAGTTTATCCTCATATTTACAGTAACATTATTCGTAATAGTTGAATTCTTTTCTTTTATACAATATTGTGACCAAAAGCAGCTTAGGTGCTGAAAGATGCCTGAGCAGTTAAGAGCACTGGCTGGTCTTGCAGGAGACTGGAGTTTGGTTCCCAGCACCCGCATGCTGGCTAACAGCCACCTGTAACTCCAGCTCCAGGAGATCCGATGCCCTCTTCTGGCCTCTGCAGGCACTGCATGCAACAGTGCATTAACATACATGCAGGCAAACACTCCTACACAAAAATAAATAAGTAATCTTTTCTTTAAAAAAGGAACTTATGGAAGGAAGAGTTTACTTTGGCTTTCAGTTCCTGAGCAATTGAGAGTTCACTGTGGCAGGGAGGCATGGCAGTACGCAGCAGGTGTGGTGGGAGGGGATGGAAACTGAGGTCTCACATCTTCAACTGCAAACACAAAGCAGAGGGAGCATCTGAAAGTGGGCAACTATGAACTCCCAAAGCCCACCCCAGTGACACACTTCCTTTAGTAAGGCTATACCTCCTAAAGAGTCCCTGAACAGCACCACGAGCTGGGGGCCAAGTGTTCAAATACTTGAGCCTATAGGGAGCTACTTTTCATTTAAAACACCACAATAGTCAAGAAAACAAGCTCAAAGGAGAGCTAGCAAGTGGACAGAATGGACAAAACATAGTAAATGCTCACAACAGAAGATAATTCAGCCTTAGAAAGACAGGAGATCCTATCACATGCTATAACATGGGTGAACTTTCAGGATATCATGTAAGTGAAATAAACCAGTCACTAAAATAGAGACACTGTGCACTCTACTTATATGGGGCATCTAAAATAGTCAAATTCAAGGAAAAAGAAAGTAAAATGGTGATTACTATGGGGGTTAGGTGGGCATAGAAAAGAGCAAAGTTGATGTTCAAAGTCTGAGTTCAGATACGGAAGGTGAAAGGAGATCTGTTTTACATCAATGTGAGTATACTTACCACTACTGAACTACATAGTTAACAATGGCCAAACTGGCTGGGCATGAAAGTGTATGCCTCTAATCCCAGCACTCAGGAAGCAGAGACAGGTGAATGTTTTTGAGTTAGGGACCAGCTTGATCTATGTAGTGAGTTCCAGGCCAGCCAGTGCTACATAATGAGATCCTGTCTTAAAAGAAAAACAGTTTTTTAAAATGTGATGTTGTATGTTTTTACACTTTTAAAGTCTCTAATAAGGGGCTGGAGAGATGGCTCAGCAATGAAGAACACTGACTGCTCTTGCAGTTCAAATCCCAGCACCCACATGGCAGCTAACAACTGTCTGTAACTCCATCTCCAGGGGGTCCAACAGTCTCTTCTGTCATCTGCCAGCATTGCATGACTCGGGTGCACTCACCTATATGCAGGCATAACATTCATGTACATAAAATAAAAATAATAAATAAAATATTTAAAGTCTCTAATAAAAATTATGTTTAGGAGAGATGGATATTAAGGTACAAATTGGTGGCTATTCTGGTTCTGTCTCTCTTGTTTTAGAAAACCAACTCAAACCTAAGAGAAAAGAGAGCTGAGTTCTTCCACAGAACCAAAGAGAGAAAGGGCGATTGACTTCAGCATCAGCTGGAAACAGGAACTTAGAGTCTACTGGATTTCTTTGTCTCTTTTCTACTTTATTTTCTTTGTTCTCTGCTATTTTAGTCTCTGTGGGGAAACGTGTTTGCCAAACATTCCTGTCTTTAAAAGACTATTTCATCTAGGTGTGGTGGAGCACACCTATAATCCCAGCTTTTGGGAGGCTGAGGCAGGAGGATTACAAGTTTGAATCCTGGGCCACGTGGCAACCAAAATAGCATCTTTGTTGATGAAATCTGGTAATAAAGGATGATGCTCTGTAGGCAGTGGGTAAGCTGCAGCCTGGACTCTTCCCCAGTCACAGACAGAGCCAGACTGATGATATTTTGGTTGTCTGTTTGCCTTACATTTTTGTCTTCTTTAATTGGTTCAGCACTAAGCAGGGAGGAGGGTGCTATTTATTGGACTCCTCTGAAACCCAATAGTATGAGGTGGGAAAGATGGCTCACTAGTTAAGAGCACATAATGCTCTTGCAGAGGACCCAGGTTTTGTTCTCAGCACCCACACTGGGTGGCTCACAACCCCTTGTAACTCTAGCTCCCACAAGTCCAAAGCCCTCTTCTGGACTCCGAGGGTACCTATACTTATGAGTGCACATACCCACATGCAGCCACATACATATACACATGATTAAAAATAAATCTTCAAAAATGAAACCCAGTGGTAGATGCTCAAAAATATTTGTTTACTGAATAATTATGTTTTAGCAACTGTAAATCCAGATGTTGAACTTAGGACAGAGTTAAGCTAAGGAAATATATCTGTAAATGAGGGTCATGGAAGTAATAATTATTGGGCTTGTGTGGGGCTACTATATTTGTCATGTTTATAGCTAATAATTATTGAATGACCCTATGCCAGGCATTGTCCTGCGTTCTTTGTATGCAGTCACACATTAATCCTTATAATAACCCTATGATTATTTTAGCCTTATTTTTAAAATATTTTATTTATTGTTTTTATTTTATGTGTACGTGTATATTGCCTGCATATATGTAAGTGCACCTGTGTTGCGCAGTGCCTGTGGAGGTCGAAAGAGGGCGTTGGGTCCCCTAGAATTGAAGTTATGGATGGTTATTAGCTGCCATGCAGGTGCTGGGAATTGAACCTGGGTCCTCTGCAAGAGCAGTCAGTGCTCTTCACCCCTGAGCCATCTCTCCAGTCCCTTAGCCTTATTTTATAGAAGGAGAAATTGGAACAAATATGTATTGACTAACTTGCCTCAAGTTACAAGGCTAAAGGATGGCAGAACTGAAATGAGCTAAATGAAACTGGATTGTCCAGGAAGAGTAAAAGATGAGTAATTTCTTCAATTCTGTTCTTCTCTACTGCAAGATGAAATCATTAATTCCTCAGCATATAATGGAGGGGTAATGAAAGTTAATGACACAAAACCTATAACGATCACTAACTAAAGGGAAAGTGTGTCCCAAACCAAAGACTGGCTTTAGCTGTTTGGTTAGCTCATGTTGTGTGTGGTAACCAATAACAATGTCTGTAGTTTTCATTTGGCTGAGTTCTCACTGACGTGGACCACAGGATGGGCCTTGCTCCGAAGGAAAGACTGGCTTTCAAGTTGGTTATGGAAAAGTTGGGTGAAGGGAACAAAGCTGCCTGTATTTGGAAAATGTTGCTCTATTTTTCCTTCTTTGGTAACCAGTCATGTGATGAGGACCACCCAGCTCTCCAATATGTCTCTGAACTTTTTTCTCCCCTTTTACAGACTCTGAGATCAAAAGGCGGAGTCAACTACAGCTCCTGAACTCAGGGGCTTCTCTAGGTGTTTCTTCTGTCTTTGCCATTAGTTGGGCATTCCTGTCTCTCTCCACTTACCTGATGCTAAAATGATGTGCCTTGGCCACACAGAAACATTCAATGTTATTGGTACAACAGGTAAGATACTCACAGTGTGCTGGATGGGTGCTCTAACAAGAGTCAAACAGCCTTCAGCATCAGCCACAGAGAGGAACCCTACAACGATGCCAGGGCAGGGACTGCTTCTCCCAGCATTGTGAAGAATAATGGTTTGTTAGTATTGTTAGTGAGCATCAACCACAAGCAGAGACCTCATTGCCAGATGATAGGAAAACCAACTCCATGAGATTCAACTATTTGTGTCAATTCAAACACCTTTTCATTTGCTGAATCATTAGTGAATGCAAAAATATCTTATTGGAGAGAAAGAGCTGCTTAGCCTTGACAAATTACCTGGGCTTCACAGTTACTTAGAAAGCATAATACAGGCTTATAATTACTGAGTGACTGTTTGCCACCCCATCCCTGACCCCTCCAACTTGGGGCCCAGGTGACTCACCAGCCAGCCCTCCTGCTGAGAATTGTTCTCTGACTCTAATTACCGTTGGGACGTTTCCTTCTAAGTATTCTACTGTATATGAGATTTGTTGAAAACTGAGCTTGTGAAGTTTTGGTTAGCATTCCCACATGAACTCTGAGGCATCTCCACCAAGCTTTTGCTGACTGACCTCTGTCCTTTCTGTCAATGTTTTACCAACCCCAACAGCATTTCCTCCCAGTTGTCTCTCAGATCAATCCCAATCCAGTCTTTATCATCTCATAACTCTCTGTACTTGGGCCTGCCTCTTCTTTTTTTTAAAAATATTTCATTTATTATTTTTATTTTATGTGTATTAGTGTATTGCCTGCATGTATGTAAGTGCACCCATGTCATGCAATACCCTAGGAGGTCAGAAGAGGGCATCAAATTCCCCTGGAACTGGAGTTACAGATGGTTGTTAGCTGCTGTGTGGATGCTGGGAATTGAATCCTGGTCCTCTGAAAGAACAGCAAGTGCTCTTAACCACTGAGTGCAGCCCTGGACCTACCTCTTCTTGTTGCAAGTGACAGGAAACAAGGTACCAGAATGGAAATCTTCAAACACTCTTTTCACCGTGGCATTTCCTTGCTCTGGATCCCAGAATGACTCTGGACACAACTGTATCAGAGCTAAAGTCCTTAGCTGTGCAGTTAGAGTCCTCTAATCTTCTCTCACGGACAGCTTCCTAGCTTTGCTCTTGTACTTCCTGCCCCTTCCTGGAAACTTACTCTACAGAAATTCATACCCATGCCTTCCTCTATCCATTTCAGGGATGTGCTTCCTGGCCTGACCCCCGCCTCCGCTACCGCCCCCATTTCCTGAGAAATTCCCTTGCATCACGCACTCACTTGCCATGTATGTATACTGCGTTATCTTACAGCCTCTGAGGTGCACGGATCCCTTACCTAGATGTTGAGATCTGGAGGCAGACAGAGCTCTGTTGATCTGCTTCTCAACCCCCTTCTCTTGTTCTCCAAACTCTTAAGGCAGTGCAGAGTACAAAGAGCAGTCTTTGTAAGAAAACCACCAGCTCCCATTATTTCTGATCTTCTGTGGCTGTCAGCAGAGATGTTTTCAAGGAACTTGTCACTTAGGGACTTCAGTGGTAGGAAGAGGAACCTTTATTCTTTCCTTGATTCCCTTCAATGCTGTGAGTTCTTAGTAACCTGCAACTAGATAATATGACCTATAAGGTATAGATTATCGGTCTTTACCTCATATTTCCTTAAAGCAATCATTTGCAGCTTTTTAAAAAGTCATGCCTTACATGCAAAGGATGGCATTCACACATGGAAGCCTGGCACTGTCTCTCAGCTACAGCTCCACCTCTTCCCCTCAATAGCTACAGAAGAATTTTAAGCCAAACAGATTTTGGAGGGAAGAAAAAGACAAAAATTCCCTTTTGTCTTTTTTTTTTTCCTTTCCAAATAGACCTTTAAAGTAGAAGAGATCATTATTTGAGACACACACTATAACTGGCCATGACATTTTAGGTCACACACATCCCTGCCTAGGAGTTGAGGCAGAAGTTGTCTCCCAACCTCATCCTAGGAACCTGCCCATCCTTCATCTCTCAGTTTCTGTTGGCTCCAAGGAACAGCTTCTTTCCTGCGACTGTCACTGGATGATTGTCCTTTAATATGAAATCAAGCCATCCATTCCCTCAGTAGTCCCTGGGACCATGTGACCATGGCAGAACAACAAAGTACAGAAAAATAAGCCCATTTCTAAATAGGAGGTACACACACACAGTGGTGGGGCGAACTCTGAGTTCTCGGTACACATTTGGTAAGTGGCTGTAACGGTATCTTATTACTATTCTTTTCAGAATCCCAGGAATCTACAGGAAAACTTTACCATAAGATATGACCTAGTTTTATATTTCTGGGGAAAATGGATTCATGTCTAGAAGTCTGGAATGAACAAACAAGAACAAGAAACAAAACAAAAATGAAAGCTTCCAGTATGAACAGGAGAGACCTATTATCAAAGACATGTGTTAAGAGTTGGGAGAATAATTTATCTGAACACTGTATATTCAGAGCACTGTGTGTGTGGAGATGGATGTTTTTCCATATCTCAGGGACCTCCCCTCAACTGCCAGCTCCTAGGGAGTGAGAGGATGGGCAATTGCACCTCTCCAACTCCTTAGTTACACATACTAAGGTGTTGCTTTAAGAAAGTTCCTGGATTCAGGAAGTTTCGATTGCCATATATTCACGTTTCATATTCTGCAAATTAAACTGTAGTGCATACATGAAAAGCTGCTAATCAGCTGCCACTTCACAATTCAGAGGTTGGCTGCATTTGAGTGACAGGCCAGTGACTCACTTCTCATTACGATGCTTTCAAATATCTTGGCTTCTCCTCCCACCTGACAAATGCCAAAGATGTGGAAAAACCCATCATAATTTTAAGGTAAACAAAACGGTTGAATGACACTGATTTTCTACATAATCTGACTTCTTTTTCGAACAAACAAATGTCATTTTATTTCTCAGATGATGTTGATTTGTGAAGGGCCTGGGAAAGAGCTCTCATTCTACTGTGTGGCATAAGGTTTGAAGTCTCTACTCTCTGTCCTGCGTGGATAGCTCTGGCCTCCACTTTCAACATCTGGAGCACTAGGACTCAACTGGGGTATTTTGCCCTTTCTTAACTTACATATGAGATTTGGCAATGTCTGGGGACAGTTTTGGTTGGCACGACCAAAGGAGGACTACTGGCATCTAGAGGATAGAGCTCAGAAACGCTGCTCAATACCCAGCTGTGGACAGGACATGTTCTCAAGATGAAGAATTATCCGGCTCCAGATTTCACCCAAATGTTAACCTTGGCGAAGAAATCCTGAGCTAGAGTAGAAAAAGATCTAGAAAAGGAGAGAGAAGCAGCTCTGTTTGTTTTCTGCAGTGGGCATTGGCCTCCATCTCTGGTTACTGCCTCCGTTCAGGGAACCAGATCTCTGCACCGCACAGTGTCCTTCAGAGACCAGCCGGTGAGGCACATGGAGCTCCTCAGTGGGATTACCATCAGCTCACTGTGCTTCCAAGTCCCTTTTCTTTCATCCTACACCACACACTAAATTTGGCTTAAAAGCTACCCAACTTCATCTCAAGTTCTCTGGCTCTGCATTTTAGATCTCAAGAACTTGCTCACCAAAATATAATTTAGGGCAACAACAGTGAGTCTTACTTGAAACACAGACTTCTGAGCTTTGAGTTTCTTTGGTTTTCTTTGGCAGGGATGGGAGTGGTATGCTAGAGATCAAACCCAGGACTTATGCATGCCAGGCAAATATTCTACCATCGAGCAATCCCCCAGCCCACACATAGCCTTCAGAAAGAAAACAAGGTCCTTTGAAATGAAGCCTTGAGGCACGAAGCTCTAATGGGAAAGAACCTTGGTCTCCAGCTCCCTCCTCACACCTCTTGTGTTGACCCCTGTCTCCCTGGACTTTGGATTACCATATTTGCATTACATTTTATTACAAACAAACTTGAGAGTTCTGACCAGTCAAGAAAACAATTAAATACACATTTCCTATACTGTTGTCTTCCTGGTTTGTCACAGAAGTGAGAAAGGAGAGATGGATTAAAAATCTATAGGGCAGGTTCTAAAGAGTAAAACCTTCCATAAATAACAGGCCTTCTACAAATGAATAGGAGAGAATGATGGGAGTTGGAGTATGGACTAAGTGTTTGAGTCTAGTTACTGAGGGAAATGTCTCCAGGCTTATACCAGCCTAACATGTTTCCATTTGGAAAAACAGTGGTGCCACTTGATTTGAGGCAGATAAATGTGGGACAGGGACACACACACACACTCACACACACACATTTTACTAGTGTCGAAAAAAGATGACTTTGCTGAGCATGTGGTATTTACCTTTAATCCCAGTTCTTGGGAGGCAGAGGCAAGCAGATCTGTGAGTTTGAGACAAGGTTGGTATGCATAGTGAGTTAGTTCTAGGTCAGCTTACATAGTGAGACCTATCTCAATAAGTAAAATCATAAATAAATAAAAAGATGACTCTTACTACTGAGGAATTACCACATTTTAGATCTGGAAGAACCTCAAAATCATTTTTTCTAATTCTTTTATTTTTCAGATGAAGAACCAGAGGCTTAGGATAAAATGTAGGTCACTGGCTAGCCTCAGGTTACATAATTTTCCAGTGGTAACTGGTAGAAAGATAAAATCTACAAAAAATGTATTTGCCAGAGGGCAAATTCCCAGGGGACTTTCAGAGCAGCTCCCTCCCCGCTTTCCCAGCTGACTCTCAATAGACCTTATGTGGAAAAGGTCAGTCAGTGTTCTGTCACTATGAAAAATAGCTGAGATCACGCAAAGGAGGAAGGATTTATCTCCATTCAGGCTCAGAGCTTTTGGTCCATGACTGGTTGGGGCTGTTGCTTTGGGGCCTTTGGTGACACATATCATTGCGGGAAGTTACAGTGAGCAAAGCCACTCACCTTGTGACAGCTGCAGAGCAGAGAGCAGCACGGACCAGGGGTCTCAGTGTCCCTTTCAAGTCATGTACATCTCCAGTGACCTATATTCCTTCCACTTGGTCCAACCTTCTAAAGGTTTCACCACCTCCCAATAGCCCCACAGACTGGAGACCAAGCCTTCAACACATGGGTCTTTGGGGACTATTTCATATTCAGAAGCCAAAGGTGAGTCAAACGGTGAAAGCATGAATACTCCTTCAGTCCTGTTTATGCGCACACAGCAGAAGCATTAGAGCACAGATGTGGACACCACAAACCTCTCTGAATGCGCAAACCTAAATGTTTGAAAACGAAAATGAATTTAAGGGAATAAACACTTTGAACTTCAAAGTGAAGTATGGGTGTTATGGTTTGGAAATAAAATGCCCTCAAAGGTCATGTGTTGAAGGTGTGGTCTCCAGTTGGTGCTGTTATTGAGTGGTAATTAGATCCTGAGGATGTTAACTGAGTACATCACTGATTTCATCCTCTGATGAGTTCATACTGAATGGGATATTAGGGGCTAGGTCTCGTTGGAAGAAGAGGATTACTAAGAGCACGTCTTTCAAGGGTGTGTCTTGCCCCTGGTTCCTTCCTGCCTTGTCCTCTCTGCTTTCCAGCTGCCATGAGGTGAGCTGCTTTGCTCTACCTCACACTCCCTGCCATGATGTGTGGCCTTTCTCAAGTTCAAAGCAACTGGACCAAATGACCATGGATTGAATTATCTGAAATTATGAGCCAAAATAAATCCTTCTTTTTAAGTTGTTAACTATTTTGCCACAGTGGCCAAAGGCTAATGAACAACCTGAACACCATCTACTCTCAGACTGTAAGAAGATTTAAGTGCATAATGACTTAAATCCGTGTATTAATGAGGAAAGAAGCATGTCATAATTACATAATAAGTCTTCTGCTTTCTTTGTACTGATGATCCCTACAACCCACCACACACACCTGAGGATGTCTCTACACATCTACCTGGATGCTCTAATCTGAGCTGCCTTACTATGTGCGGAACTGCTTTTATTAAATCAAGCCTAGAAATTTCAATATGGGAGTCCTCAGCACAAATACACATGCAGAAAGCTTACACTTTCTCTCATTTTTCTTTAAATTTCAGCTACCCTCAAGGGCCAGCAAAAGTTCTTTCCTCGTGATTCTTTGAGTGTCTTTGAATGGCACAACACGTTGCCTTCTTACTCTCTTCGTTAATCTATCTGTGCGATGTAGCATAAAAACAACATCTGTATTTTTCACTCTTGTGCATTTTAAATGACCTTAAATATGATGATAAAATAAGAGGAACCCAGACAGCCTTTGGAAAGTTTGTTGTATAAACAAGGGTCAAGGAAACACTCCCCGAGAAGGCATTTGTTTGTTTGGTTTGTTTGTTTGCTTGTTTGGGGATCCGGAAAGCATATGCACCAGAGGTCAGAGGACAACTTAAGAGACTGGGTTTTCTCCTTCTATCATGTGGATTTGAGGCATCAAACTCAAGTCATCAGCCTTGGTGGCAAGCACCTTTATCCACTGAGCCATCTCATCAACCCCTTCTGTGACCTGAGTTCAGTTCCCAACACCTGAATTGGGAGGCTCACAACCACCTGTAACTCTAGTTCTGGGAATCAAGAGGTCTTTGGACCTCTACAGGAATGTACACATAACACACACACACACACACACACTGAATCAACAAATTAATGTATGAATAAATAAATCAATGTCATAGATTTTAGCTTTTACCTTCAGCTTGATCTTTTCAGTTCAAATCTAATTGCCCAAAGTTATTTTTGGTATTTTCAATTATAAGGCCCTTTACTCAAAACTCTAAACTCTAAACATTACCTCAATAAGTATTTTATGGACAGTTTGGACTCATATGATTTCCTTAGAACAAGCAAAAAGTGATGATCAGTGAATCTAGCCTGCAGCTCTTCATAACACATTGAGGTCATTTCCTTTCTCTCAAACTTTGTGTGTAGCCATCCATGCACCATTGTAGGGAGAACTATTTAAGTTTTGACAGATAAAATCTAGGATTTTATGGTTCTTAATATGATGATGATATAGTTCAGGTCGCTAATACATGTCCAGTGGTGGGTCCAAGTTGTACACCAAGGGTAGATGAGGCTGGACTGTGTGTCAGATTAAGAGTGCAAAGACAGCAGTTTCTGGTGAGAAGCAGCAGGTGTTCACAGAGGAACCCACGTTACATCCTACTAAATAGGCTCAATGAGAAATGACAATCGTGTTCAGTTCCTCTTACCCTTCCTTTAACATGTTTCTCAACCAACTGTTCTCTAGGCCCTTCCTACTCTCAGTCTATCCACTGTTCTTTCCATCACCCCACACAGAACCCCAGAAGATATGCCCTGATATCCAGCTCCAGTTTCCTGGGGGCACCTACACACACACACACACACACACACACACACACACACA